CGTCACTTTCAAATTTCTCATTTGTTAGTGTATGAGTTCTACTGCGGGTTTGTCTTTATGTAGATGTTAGCAAATTCCGGTCCGATTGTTCAAGCGCAACATGCCTCATGAGAGAGATGTGAGAGAGAGTGTGAGAGAGAGATAGAGGGAGGGGGGGGGGGGTCGGGTTAACCACATCATATAATTCGTTATTTGTTATTTGTGTTATTAGGGATGATTTCATTTACACGATTATATTGGGTTAGATTTTGAAAGAATTTATGGTCCCGAATTCGTTTAATACAAAGGTGTTGTCTTAAGTGTTATGACACTTGAACAAACATGCAGCGGAAATAAAAAGAACAATACTCAGAATTAAAAATGTTCACAAGTAAATACTTGTGAACTTGCCCTTTACATGACGAAAAAGAATATATTCAAATCAGTATTCCAAGAATACAAATGGAAGAGGTGCGAAAACTTCTTCCTTACAAATGAATCATTCTCATGATCATTCTTACAATCAAATCTAGATACTAAAAGAAAAATATTAAAAATTCTAGATTTCAAAGAATGTACTCATAAGGAGGACGTACAACAGATCCTAGAAACACACTAAAATTCTCGAGATTAAACTTCAGCTCTCTTTTTGTTTCTTCGAAACCTGTACATTCTTGAGTCTTGAGTTTGGTATTTATAGACTTGCCAAGCTTCCACTCCTCAGCCCATGATCTGCAAGAAAACCAACCACAAGAGCACTCAAGAAAGTGGGTTAGTGGGTTAGTTTGGAAGTTAAGATAAATTCCTTAATTTAATCCACTAAGCACTACTTAACCCACTAACTAAAATTTAGTTTAGAGAGTAAGAAAGTTAAAAACACAATGTGGAATTAATCCACGTGTTTCAGATTTCATTTGTAGATCTGATTAAATAATCACCACTAAGTACATATACACATACGATATAGACCTGATTAAATAACCACTCACTAAATATATATATATATATATATATATATATATATATATATATATATATATATATATATATATATATATATATATATATATATATATATATATATATATATATATATATATATATATATATATATATATATATATATATATATATATATATATATATATATATATATATATATATATATATATATATATATATATATATATATATATATATATATATATATATATATATATATATATATATATATATATATATACAAATATATATATATATGTATATAAATTTATATAAATTAATTAACATATATATATAAATATATATCTATATATATATATATATATATCTTTATAAATATATATATA